ATAACAACTCAAAATACTGCTGAGTACATGTAATCAAAGAAAGTTACAATGTATCTTCAAGGAATAAGGACCTTGCAGGATCTCTCAAAGATAATTGCATCAACTGTTTTCTATGCACTTTTTCTAAACTTAATAGATCTTTCTCCAAAATGGCCGTCGAAAATTCATATTAAACTGAGCGGAAAATCAATACCAGCACCTGAAAGACCACCTATTGTTTGGTAATCGTGCAAAGTTTCGTTAGGTTAGGTTCTATCCGAGTAGAGAAAACGGAAGCTGAAAACTGGAAAATTTGGAGACGTTTGTAAACGTCTCTAAATTTTCCAGTTTTCAGCTTCCGTTTTCTCGACTCAGGTAGAACCTAACCAAACGAAACTTCGTACGATTACCAAACAAGAGGTGGTCTTTCAGGTGCTGGTATTGATTTTCTGCTCAGTTTAATTTTAATCATTTTGAATTTGTGGCGGCCATTTTGGAGAAAGGTCTATTGCTACTAACTGTTACGCCTATGTAACTATTAAACAATTTTGTGTCATACATTACATGTAGTTAGTACAGTGTCATCATCATCGTCATCATCATCTTCTTCGTCAAGTTTATGACCAGTTTGCATAATGATCATATTTAAGACAGATGCACTGCATTGGCGGCAATTTCATTTCATCTTCACATATTTTAAGTTAAGTACAATTAGATAAAGTTGTAAGTGCATTATTCTGAACTTCTAAACTTGCCTGATGAAGACTAGCAGTAAACAGTTGAAACGTCGCAATCTACATCGAACTGAAGTTACAACTGTAGTTTAGAAGTTCAGAATAATGCACTTGTAACAATACATCATGAGACAAACGATAATATACATGTACTTTATTACCTTACCACGATGAACAACAACAACCTTTTTTATGACATAATATGTCTGAACTTGCTGTAAAGTCTCACCTTGCATTTCACTGTCCATAAGTTTGGATCTCTGTTGAGAAATAACAAAACGAGGAGAGAATGATTAACCCAAGATGTCCCTTTAAAAACAAAACACACATTCAAGCCTCTTACTTGACACCAGGCAGTAAACTCTGTTGTTGAATCTCTGGTCGCAGTTCATAGTCATCTCTGTATCTGTTAAGAGAACACAGTCAGACAAAGTAAGGATTTCATATTGCAAATTCACAACAGCAGGAAAACAAATTGAAATTTGTGTACCCTCATTTTGATCCAAATGCACCCTCAGAAACATAGTAAGGCCAAACAAAAACAAGTTACATGTACTAAGAGTCAAGGGATGAAAGTCTTTAACTCTCATTAATACAACACTGTACATGTATATTTTTTGTCGTTCTTGCTCTCCTTTTTCTCTCATTTTATTTTGTGGTTTTGTGGCCTTTCAGTCACCTTTGTTCACGTTGGAAACGTTTCCACCTAAACATTGGGGAAAGTGAACTTTTTGTAACAAAGAGTGTCAATTGTAGCCCTGGAAGGTCACGTTTTTTGTGTGATTTTGGAGAAAAATTCCAAGCTGTTTTGTCTCTGGCCCAATTCAACGTTTCGTGCTTGGATAGGCATGCTTTGTTAGACATTTTCCTACTCTATCAGTTGAATATCAAAGACATCCTCTGGCATGAAAAGTGATGACGTCACAAGTGGTACAAGTCCGTGGTCTCCCCTTGGCCGGTTATGGCCGGTTTAGGTGTAAATGGGTTAACATCAGCAGACAGTACTCACTTGTATGAAGTCTCAGCAAACTTTTTCTTGTAATATGCCTCTAACTCCTCTGCATTGTTATCTCTAAATAAATGAATAATAATTTATTATATAATAATAATTATTATTATTATAGATCTCAGAGTCTATATACTGCACTTTAACTCCAAGTCGTGAGTTTTAAAAAGCTGAAAGTGTAATTTGAGATAGTCGACTGGTTTGAAAAAGCAAACAACTATAATGCTTACTTGTGACTGAAAACTGGAAGGCCAAAAAAAAATCACTCAAAGGTTTTTTTTCATAGTGGCATCCAATTGACAATTAGATTATGAGCTCAAGATTTCTATGATGTGATAGTTGACGAGGCCGTAGGCCGAATCAACTATCACATCATAGAAATTGAGAACGAATAATCTAATTGTTTTAGTAAAAATTATAACAATTGTCTTGTAATAACTCTAAATCCTCTTCCAAACTAGAGAGAAACGAGAAAGAACCGCAATTTTGTAGACAACCTCCAGCCACTGCACACTAATGGTTGATAGTGTACGAGTAGCTCAGCCAATCAGATTGTCTCATTTGCATTAGTATACTTAGTCTAGTAGATTTTTACTAATACAATTTAGAAGATGGTTCAGCAAATGATAACAAGAAACAGACCAATATGATATTGAATAGTTCACTGGATTTAGAAATAGGAAATACTCGCACATATACATAGCCTTCTGAAATATTGTATAAAATAATTCAAATTCACTTGTACAGACTGGCTAGCACCTGTACTATTAAACACTCCCAAGTTCTACAATGTGAAAATCAAAACTGTCACTTAAAGTTTCATGCTTGCTATATCCAGTACATACCCAAGCATCTGTTGTAAACGTCTGGCACCCTAAACAAACAAGACATGTATTAGATTATTCCTTGTTCAAAGTCAGGGCTGTCATTAAGGGCCGTAACCCATAACACCTGTTACGGCTAAGTATGCTTGATGGGACCTTGATGTTACGGGTGAACTTGCCTGTTGTTTGGTATAATTCACTTACAAAGTAAATACATTTGTTACGGGTGTGAAGATCAAAGCAACAGGTGACTCAAAACTTAATGACAGCCCTGCAAAGTGTTTTTTCCTCCTGATATACATGTACATGTAACAGCATTAATAAATTTGCAACAATTTGACCTTCAATTATATTCCCTGCAGGGCATCAACCCTTGGGGTGGGGGGGGATGGGGGGGGGGGGGGGGGGGGGGTGCGGGTTTGGGGACAGTGGGATGGGAACCCGGGATTAAAGGGGGGGGGGGGGGGTGGGAATTCTACGGGAAGTGGGAAAATAGAGGGCAGGAAATGGGATACCCAAGTTGGTGGGAGCCTGGGAGAAATACGTAGGAATATATTTTGTAATATTTCGCAATAAGAAAAGCGCAAAGAGGCAGAAACAACTAAGGAAGGGGCAGGAACTGGAAGTAAAATATAAAGGAAGCTTAGATCCCCCCCCCCCCCCCCCCTACCCCACCCCACCCCCTTAATTAGCTTGCTTATTATTTATAAGCAAAACATTATTAAATACATGTAATGAGTTTTGACTTGGTAACAACTTGATCTGAAAATATACATCACTGTCTACATGATGTTACGCCATGTTGTGCACCTAAATATGTTTCTTACCGATAAGTCATTATCAATTGAATCGTCATCTCGATCATCTACGAAAAGGAAAATAAAATAATTTGTTTGTTTATTCAATAGACATAGAAATACATGTAAGGAATGCTACAATTTGTACTTTGAAGAACAGACATCCATGCATTACAGTTTTAACATACACATGTAAAAGTAGTGTACAGTTATTGCAATTTAATAGACTTGTACATTGACTGTTTCATACTTGTATCAATCAAGTCCTGATATCCTTCTTCAGCTTGTTCAACATCCTCATCATCAATGTCATCATCAACATCTACAAACAATGAAACATTATATTATTCATTAAATTTTGTAAAAATTCCATTAACTCCATACAACATCTGGTCACTCGTTTAGGCCACCAGGTATTTTCTAAAACATGTTTATTTCATCAGTTACATGTAACTCTGTCGGCAATTTCTAACTACTTTCTACCATGTCATTGTCAAACTCATAACAAATTATTGGTCCACACTGCCCGGAGCTTATCTTTTTTTTTGCCAGAGCTTATCCGGGTTTCTGTAGCATAAAGCTGACTAGGAACTACTCCCCTTGGGTGGGATGCTAGTGCAACGTCAGGTTACCCCCAGCATTTCATCAGGTTTTCCTAACAGTTCACTGGTACCCATTTATACTCCTGAGTGGAGAGAGGCACTGTGAGAGTCACATGTACATGTAAGTGTCTTGTCCAAGAACACAACACAATGACCCTGGCCAGCGCTCTAACCCAGACCGCTCAATCTGGAGTCAGCGAGTTCAGTGTCTCCACATGTGTCTCCCACACTTGACAGCACAGAGACAGTCTAAAACTAAATTCTTTCAAGAACAACCTGGGATCATAATGATAAATCAGGCTAGTAAACTGTCAGTTTGACAGACCAATGATTTGTGAATGACAACTGAAACAGTTGGTAATGCTACTCTCATCTTTCTTTTATTGAAAAAGTGGGTGTCCTGGGGACATATCCCTTAGAAGATGTGCACAAATCAAGCATGTAAGGTGTGTTTGACTTTTTGATTGCACAGGCAACACAACCTTTTGAAAATGACACATTGCCAACACACAGTGAAAATTGTATTAAACTCAGAGACACAAAGGATAATGCAGAGTTTAATGCTGCAGCAGTCAGGCCCTCATCGATATCCCCCCCCCCCCAACCTGATAGGTGGAAATCCCCCACATCCAATACATTGTATGCAAGGGTGTCTATACATACAATGTGACCATGCGCTGGTGACACAACTTCTGACAGTTAAAAAACCCCAATGTACAACTATTACGTGTACAGTTGAGGCTCCCATAAGCGGACACCCTCAGTTAGCAGAAAAAGTGTCTGCAACTGGAGCCGGCCGCTTACGGAAATGTGTTAAATATGTACAGAGTTTGTATGAGCTAGAGTTCAAACAGGGTAAAGTAAAGTAAAGTAAAGCAACTTTATTTATACACGGTTTGTGTTAAAGCTAGAAGCTTGTGGGCCGTGTGTAGAAACAAATATTTCAAATAAACATAACATGGTTGAAAATCCCAACTGGCAGGAGACAGACCAGTTGGCTATTTACAGAGCGCAGCCAAGGAGTTGAACTCTGAGCAACCGAGAACAAATCCAGCGAATGGCAGGATGGAGGACTTGAACCCGGGACTAATTAATTATTAATTTAATTAATTAAAACCTCCGGATTACAAGTCCGACGCCCTGACCACTCGGCCATGCTGCCTCCTCTCACTGAGAGAGCTTTGACTGTACAGGGTTCAAAATAAAATCACAGCTTTTAGCTTGAATTTGTAGGCTTTTTTTGTCAAGGCTCATTTTTTCCCGGCTGTCAATAATGAATGAGCACGTACCCAGAAATGGCACATTCTATGAATCACTTTTTTTCACTTCCGCGATGTGCGTGTGTGCACTGCTACACTAATTACGGGAATCTGCGAAGAACCCGTTGCCTAGCACGTGACCAAAATATTCCTCTTTTTTCCTTGAGAAACCATGAAATTATAAACTGATTTAAAAGATTTCGCACATATCGCATGCTTTGAACTGCTAAAATAATGTCAGCGTCAGAATCTTCATTTTAATTAACGTGTTTCTCGATGTTTCATTGCGACAATTCCCTTCCAAACAAAGCATCGTGAACGGCTCTCTTTTTAGGTTTTGTTCAAGCGTAAAATATGCAACTTTATCTTGTAGACAAACCGTCGCGCTTCTTCACTCACAAACATGGGAAATCCGTTCTGTCGAGCAATATGAATACAAAAACTGACTTTAATTTGAACCAGTGAAAAGGCTTAACAACCGGCACTAAACAAGTTTTGAAGCAAAACAAATCTTGATTACAAGTGCAGAAACATAAAGGCGGTAACGCAACGGTTTGTCTAGACAAACTTGCATGTTTCATGCTTGAAAAACACGTAAAAGAGTTATTAGTCGTTCGCAGTGAAGCACGCTTCATATTTCCAACCATTTTTAACTCTTTCTACTATTTAAAACGTTTCCAAAAGCTTTTTAAAAAAACGTTTCTTGACTGCTTTATTGTCTGATATGAAATGTACATTCAGCGACTTTGAATTTCAGTTGGCCAATCAAAGCATGACATTTTTCTAATTCTTCGGTAAAAAGTCGCCGGCAAGTGTGGTCAAAGTGCCGGCTGCTATTTTTGAACCCTGGACTGTATAAGCAAAAAATGTGCTCATGTAGTCGCAGCTTGACAAGTTCAACTTCAGTGATAAAGAACACAAACCTGCTTCCTCTAAGATAAAACCAGTGTGACGCCTTCTCTTCTTTCTCTGTCTTTCATCTTCAAAATCTTCATCCTCATATTCATTTTCATCCTCCTCCTCCTCGTCTTCATCATCCTCTTCCCTGGTAATATCCTCACCTTCCTGCAAACAGCATAAACTCTTGATTATTTACATACATGTATCGTGCAAATTTGGCGTGCATCTCGTGCAGTATAACCCTCTTGAACTATATGTGTGCTCCACTGCGGTGAAAGGCTGTTTTTCTCAACTCTCAACAACTTATTATTATTTAAAGTGAAGTTCGTTTGGCATGCAAATGAAACTTGTGCATGTAGCCGTGCACTGGGTCAATTGGGTTTGGGTTAGACTGTGAACAGTCCCTCTTTCTTTCCGATAGCGAGCGTGAGTGAGTGGAAATCGAGCAGGAATGGACCGAGCAGGAATGGGCGAGCGGAAGTGAGGCACGACGAGCGAAAGAAGAGGGACTGCCGGCTTTCCTCTTTCCGACCCATGCCAGATAACTCCGCCCACCAAGCCGTAGAAAAAATAACATTGCCTAACTGAACAAGACTGCTTTATTTTGTGTTGAGTTAGACTGTTCACAGCCTCTCTATTTTCTCAGATCCTCGTAAGCAACCTCAAGCCAAAATTGTTCGACGATGCTCTTCTGGTGAACAATTATCAGATGCGGAGTAGCCTGTGATCCGACTCTAATGCCCGGCTCTGATAAATCATCCTCTTCCAGAAGCCAAGGCTGTGCAGCGCTCCAAGCTGCGACCATTTTGGTTCGCCATGGTGAGTGAAATTTTTTTTGGCGACTACATTTTCCAAACAGATGCGGAGTAGCCTGTGATCCGACTCTAATGCCTGGCTCTGATAAATAATCCTCTTCCAGAGGCCGTCACGTGGAAGAACAGCCATTACATCCTTTCCTATCAGCAAAGCTTTGATTGCTTGCTTCTGCTCTTCCTTTAAAATTACTTCGTTCAAATGAAGAGATAAACATTCTGCTTTCTCGCCATAAAGTTGCCGCTATTGATGTCTCGCGCTATGAAATCTAAGTCGCTGTAGTGTCAACAAGTTGTCAAGAAGTGGTCAAAGAGTTAATACTAATCAATATCATCTGACAGCGTCTATTGTCTAATTAACCAATCGGAATTTTCCGTTGTCTGTACAACGGGAAATTCTAGCAAATTCTAGCTAGAGGAAACTGGCAGTCCCTCTTCTTTCGCTCGTTCGTGCCTCACTTCCACTCGGCCCATTCCTGGTCGCTCACGCTTCGCACTCGCTATCGGAAAGAAAGAGGGACTGCTTGCAGTCTAGGTTTGGGTTTGACTACAGAACAGTTTAATTAGCAACGTCCTGAAAAATTACCTGGAAATTAGAAAACATTGATCAGTACATTGCCAAAAAAAAAAAAAAAAAAATAGTGGGAGAATGCTCAGAATTTTCGGACAAACTTGACCACTACGTCTACGCCTATTGGTACCTCTCAAAATGGTTTCCAAAAAAACCCTTCTCAAATGGTACCCTCAAACATTTTAATACAGTAGGTGGAATCTCTGTTTCCATTTCTTATAAGCGTACGAACACAAAGAACACACTACGGTATCTTAAAATTGAACAGAACACGCGCCAACATTTTCAGACATTTTGTAACAAACCATCGTTTACAAAGCAGCTAATTAATTTAACGCTTGATTTTAAAACCATACAAAGCATAACAGTAAGAAACTAAGTCTGATACCTCGTCAGAAATTTGTGAGTCGTCGCTGTCCGACATGTTTGTAGGAATAACGATCGAAAAGCTGAAGACGACTTTTGCTCTCTCTCTCTCTTTCAAGATGGCGGCGAACCATCACCAGCATCCGGATAGTGCGGAATGTGATTTGTCGTCATGTATGAGTATTTGTACTGTCCCGTAATATAGTTGATCCAACATGGCGGATATTTTGTGGAGTTGCTGCGGGGATTTCTTGCGTTGTTTGCCATAATGGAGTTAAAGTTCTGGATGCAAGGTGGGTGGGTAGATAAAAAAAAGTATAGCAAAGTTAGAAAGCGGGCGAGAAAGGCAAAAACTAGTAGCACAATTATGAAAATTCTGAGCACTCTTGTATGGCAAAGCTCTGCAGACTGTGCCAAGTGACCATATGAAGTGTGCATGCACCAAGTTGAACCTTGGGAAAAATCGGGTTTCTACTATTCTTGGATGAAGACATGGACTTTACAGTGCGACTACTGTAAACTAATCACATATTGTAGAGCGGAATAGAGAAATTCAACTTAATTCCATATTGAAACGTTGTATTGAACTGAAAACGTATTGGCTCAAACAAACTGAAGTTGAAATTCTTTGTTTCCCATTCTGTAAGATGGTTTGGTTTTCTTTGTCTAAGTGGCCCCGGTTATAGTAAGTCGCACTGTAAGAGTAAAGTTTTCTGCACATCGAGTTATATATCCCTCAAATTTGATCAGCGTAATATTTTGAAAGATATTTGGAATATTTGAGAAATCAAATGAGAATCATTTCACAGATAGTAGTAACGCCACCGCCACCGCCAATTAGTAAACACAATAACCATGCACAAGTTTAGTGCAAAAAAAAATCCTTTATTGAAAACTACAGGCAGTAAAAAATAGAACTCAGGGAGGGTAGCGCGGGTAAACTAGCGAAGAGAGACCGCAACTGACCTTTGAGTCAACAATGAACTCAATATGACTGAGAAAACTTGACGCAAGTGGAAAAAATGAGAACCATGCGAGGGGGTGTGTCCCTAATTAAGTGTTTTGACAAAGCCAAAATCACCACCCCTCCCCAACTGCATCTGGTTAGTTAACCTACTGACATGATCTATTGTTTGTATAGAGATGGCACTTGCAAGTTTCCCATACTGTTAACAATGAACCAAAACAACCACAAGCTTGGCAGGAAGACACTGCTACACTAGGACATGGTGTATTGTGCTGTTTTTCAAACTCTGGAAGTTTATTTGCCTTTTGTACTCCACAAAAAGAATTATTTATATGGCAGACGAGTGACTGGAAGCTATTAAATAAAAGGTATCGTCTTATTAAATTCATCATCAATAGATGAGCTTGGGAACTGGTGCCTTACAGGTTGGCAGGGGGCCCTGAGCAATTCAGGCACAGCAGGGAGGTATCCATGGCAACCCTGCGAGCAGGAACCACCCCTACAAGCGGCCTCCAACCAGCACTGTCACACTGAAAGGAATTCAGTGGAAAATACTTACCTAACCCAATACTTACCTAAACTTATGAACCAAGAGGGTGGGAGGGATAGGAGCCAGAATCACAACGATTCACCATGAGCAATATACAGCAATAATGATCTGCAAAGATCAGCTCATTGATCTGCATAGTACATTGATCCGCAAAGATCAGTGCACAATGCAACAAGAACGTAAATGTAATTTGAGTCACAGGACATCCTGCAAAGTCCCTGAGGCCACCCTGCAGTACGCCAAAGGGAGAAACCGCTGGCTGCATTGACTCAAGATAGCCACATTTAGATATGGGTGGATAGAGGCAGTGTCTTGCCCAAGGACACAATACAATGACCCAGCCAGGGTTTGAACACAGAGTGCTCGATCCGGAGTCCATCGCGCTAACCATTAGGCCACCACGCCTGGCCATATTATCTTATTATTTGTCTTAATTTCACTTGCATTTTTCAAAATTCAAGAATAATTTGAGAAAATGCATCACCCAATCCTAATTCAAAATTACTTTCTCACACACCACTGGTAGCCACTGCCAAGCCGACCGCCGCACCTTGACCTTTATTGTAAAATCAAAAAACTTTACGCATACAACTGTACCATCAAGTTAAAACTGGAAAGTTGCCAAAAATAACAAGGTTTGCGCATTACATTTATACTAATGTCACACAAAAAACTGAAGAAGTCTTAGGGTGGGTGGGTGGGAAAGGTCGATAATGGCGGCTGCAACAGAAACAACTGCCCACCTTACCGGCCACATGACCTATTCCCAGGCCCCACGGTGTGTGAGAAAAACATTTTCCACTTATTTTGTTTCATTAAGCCAGTGGAAAATTACCCTTCTTATTTTTATCGCAATTTCAGAGAAGTGGTCAGACGCACAACAGTTATATTATTTACAAATAAGGAGGATTACATTATTGCAGTAATAAAGGAGGAGATGTTTACAGGTAAATGCGAAATGATCCTTTGATTGTTTATGTATAGTTACTTAGGAAACTGGCATGACAATTATCAATTATTGGATGAGGTTGAGCAAAAATATCGTTATTTGTCAGTGGCGAGCAGATCATTATTCGCTTCGGTAAATAATTGATCTGCGAGACACTGACAAATCACGATATTTTGCAATAACCGAGTTCAATAATATTGTTTTATCATTCGATCCAATTATTTTCGGGAAGCGGCATTTCTTCTCAATTCAATATTTATTCTGTCGACTGTAAATTATACGTAAACATACATACAACACATAAATTCAACTTGCCTTCGTTGCCTTCACCAAAACGGATTCCTACAAGTGAAGATTTTGTGTTCTTTATTCTGGCTTCGGCGTAGAACTTCTTAGAACCGCTGCCAAGTTTTACTTTCGATGTTTCAAGCCTTTTTCGTCGTAATGTTTTCTTACAATTTTATTATTCGCAGCAAAACAACTTTGCGCCGTTGTGCGCAATGAGCAGAATTATTCGTAGGCAGTTATTCGCAGGTCACGTGGTGGGCTCTTGACCAATTAAAAGGGAGAAAATAAAGCATGAATGATAATAATTATTATTTTTAATGGAATAACAGTCAAAGATCTCTGAGCGGACACTCTCGTAAGAGGACAGCTCTATTTATGGCCACCTTGACAAAACCCGTTTGAATATTATTCTAGCTCAAAAAAACTCTGTATAAATTAGACATTCCCATAAGCAGCTCCAGTTTCGGACACTTTTTCTGCTTCCTGAGGGTGTCCGCTTACAGGAGCTTCGACTGTATTCACAAGTTTTGTATTTTTTTTTTATCAACTGAAGGTTTTCATTCGTGACGCTGACCAGGAAAAAGAACATATTTTAGGACATGTGTCCATGATTCTAGACATGGTAAGAATTTGTGATTGGGAAATTTCATTTATTTGTACTTTTATTTTTCTTCCATTTTATAATATACCAGTCCAGGAAATGTCAATAATATGCCCCCACCCCCCCCAAAAATGCCCCCCCCCCCCCCAAATCTCAGTTGCAAGAAGAAGATACATATGCATGTAGCTCATATAGAGAAGATAGCTCATAGAGAAAGATATATTTTCTTCGATTATAAGCCCCCTATTATGGAAATTGTTTTGTATTTTATGTCGTTACAGTGAAGACGACGCTACCGTTGCCACTTGACAAAGTTTTTGATTAACTTTTGACATCTTTTTGACAACTTTGATGGTTCCGTTTCCCCCATTTGAACTAGTAAGACTAGAAACTAAAACCATTCAAATTCCACGATTCCACTCCTTGGATTTTGATTGGTCAAGTGAAATGGAACCCATCTGAAAGTCGTCAAAAAGTTGTCAAAAAGATGTCAAAAATTAATCAAAAACTTTGTCGAGTGGCAACGGTAGCGTCATCTTCACTGTAAACAGTATGCTCAGAGACTTGTGATGTTCATTTGATTTTTGTTTCATATCATTATAATTTAGAGAGGTAAATTACAATGCCGCAGTCTTGTTTGCACCGAAACGTTTTCACCAAGGGCTTATTATCAGAGTCTATTATTATACAGTGTATAAATGCTATTCTATTCTTATTTTATTTTTCAATAGGTTCTTACAAGAGATGACAAGTTTTTAATCACATCTGATAGAGATGAGAAGATACGTGTGAGCTGTTATCCTAACTCATACAACATCCGTTCATTTTGTCTTGGAAATTTAGAGTAAGTAGACTAAAATAGAAGTGTACATAATGATTTCATAAACAGATGCATTTTGCATACAATAATGTAGAGGTCTTTTTGTTTTGTTGCCTGAGTGGGTCTTGCAGTCACAGCCAAAATAAGATTGAGTCTACTAGTTAACTTTAAACATTAAATACAGTGACTAATAGCCACCTCTCTATAAAGGCTGGTTTTCACTAGCGACATACCAGTAAGCATAAACACAAGCACAAGCTAGTGAGGATAGCAGTCGTTTCCTTTCTGAGAGAGGTGCATGAAGGCATGGAGCTTGAAAAGAGCAAAAAAAAGTGCTCCATGCCTTCACGTGCCTCCCGCGCTCTTAGAAAGAAAACGACTGCTATGCAGACTACATGAACATAAGCACAAGCATAAGAAGAACGAACATGCTTGTTCTTCTCAGGTTGTCCTCACTAGGAATCACCGCGGCATAAGCACAAAAAGAAGTTTGTTTTTCTTTTGCTTATGCATATGCTTTTAAGCTGTATAAGCTTAAAAGCTTATACAGCTTAAAAGCTTAAAAGCTTATACTGCGGTGATTCCTAGTGAGGACAACATAAGAAGAACAAGTCACTATAAGTGTGTTAATTATTCTTATGCTCGTGCTTATGTTTACGCTTATGTCGCTGCTGTCCTCATTAGCTTATGTTTATAGCTTATGCTGCTGTATGTTGCTAGTGAAAACCAGCCTTAATGGCCACCTCTCTACAACGCCACCTCTCTACATTGGTCAGGATTCTTCATTCCGACTGTGCACTGATCCATATATTTTACCGTCCAATACTGTCATTGAAACCTCCCTAGAATGGCCGCTTCTCTACAACAGCCAGTTAATTTGGCCCCAGGGTGACCGTTGTAGAGAGGTTCAACTGTTGTATCGTTCATTGTTTGTTTGCAGTTTTGTCAGCTGTTTAGCTCTGCTACAAGGAAGTGGAAGTCAAAGTATTCTTGTATCAGGTGGAGGGGTAAGAAAATAATGTTCAGATAGCCACAGTTTTAGTTATCTCATAGACTCATATACATCTGTAGTGTATGTACCCTATCAGGGGTGAATCCAGGATTTTTTGATAGAGTGGGTCCAAACTTGCACACAGTAAGAAGTGACGACCGTGTAGGTAATGGCTGAGTGGCGACGTCCAACATAAGTTTCACTGAAACAATCAGATAATAGTCATATTGCGATCCTTCAGTTGTAAGAAATGTAATGCAATGTAAGGAAAGTGATGGTGTATTCCTTCGCTCTGTCGCACACGCATTTCTCAATGAAAAATAAAGCCAATTCCGCTTGTATTTTTTCCAATGTTATTGTAAAAAACAAATTGACAACATTTTTTCATGGTCAACACTCTTATAGACTATAAAAATGACGCCATAAAAATAATGTCCAAAACTTGGCAGTTCCACTTGAGTTTTGAACATTTTATGATGTCTATTCCATGTTCTATAACTGCTTGATTTGTTAAATAGCTCATAATAATTTTAACTTTTTTTTAATAATCTGTAAGGATGGGTTTGTGAGATTCTGGAATCCTGACTCAGGTGAACAAATTACTTCTAAGATGATAGATGATTCAACAGAAAGAACCAAAGAACAAAATCAAAAGGTATTTATTTGTGGTGTATAAATTGTAGAATTTGCTTAGAATTTAAAAGTAAAGATAATGGAATGGAATGGAATGGAACTTTATTGCAACTCCCTACAAGGGTTTTTCAGTTACATAACTACTTATAACCTACTTTATTAAGCCCCCCCCTCTCTTTCCCCCTACTTATAACTACTTATAACTACACGAATAAGCACATAAAAAATTGGTAAAAACACGATAAGCTTAAAAGAAAGAAATACAAATTCATAGATTAATCAGCTAAAAGTAACTTAACAATTCGTGATCTATAAACTCTTATGGAGTTTGAAGATGTATATAAATCATTACCAAAGGGAAATTAATGTGATTGTGTTCAAAAAGAATTGTCTCAATTAATTCTGTAAGAAATTTATAGAAATTAGTCAGAAGAAACTGAATGTTGGCATGCGTACCTTAAAACACAGTTGCCCTTCAATTATTAGCACATAGCACTCTGGATCGAGCAGTCCGGTTCAAGCACTGACCAGGGTCATTATATTGTATTCTTGGGCAAGATATATACTTACCTCTTTCATTGCCTCTCTCCACCAGAACAATAAAATAATGGGTACCGGCGAATTGTCAGGGCAACCTGACAAAACATGCTGGAGCGGGTTACATTTGATGGACTAGCATCCCATTCAAGGGAGTGGCGATACTCCTGGTCAAAAACGAGCAAAAACGAGAAATTTGTGGTCAACTAGCTCTAAGAAATTATGTCAAAATTAGATGGTAGATCCAAGGAAAGATTGGTTTTGGATGAGCCCAGAGACGAAGAATTTGCCCTCACCGTTGGGTATTTGCCATTTTCTTCAACAAATGGTAATGCCTGGGGTCATCCCAGGGGGGGAGGGGATGGGCACACTGCTGAAATTGACTGATAATATAATAATTTATTACTTAATATAGCGTATTCTCCAGAAAATGCCCAAATGCGCTTTACATGATGTCATTAGTCAAAAATAAATACTGAAACTATATATATAACTAAGTATATCAAAAGTTTGTCACAATAAATACTGATGCACATAACACATTTGCTTACTTACAGGAAGACTCGCTGTGTTGCCCAATTGTATC